GCTGTTTCTATTTATCACAGTAAATTGAAGAAAATACAAATGTCAAATTGATAAATATTGGTCTTCATGGGACAGAGCTCTGAGTGGTGAGGCTTCCTCTCTGTTCACGATGGATCATGAACCCTTGAAAGCTAGTCTGGAGCAGCTTTCAAAATGTTCATGATCCATCGTGTCTCAACTGTAAAATGGCTTTTGAAAAAAGGGGCCCAATAGAGCAGAAGCAAAAATGCATGGCTTCTTTTGCAAAAGTCTAAAATAGTGATTTCCAGAAAAAAAAAATTCTGCTGCTTTTTGTACTACACCCATGGGAGTGTTGGAGATGCAGTTCCGCATAATCATATTCCATCCTGGATACTAGGTACATCATGGTCACTTCAGGCAACTTCACATAACTTATATTTCTAAGTGGGAAGAATCAATTCACAACAATCTAGCAATAGCCTGCAGTGCATCATCAAGACGTGAAGGGTTGTTTGTAACCCCCAATCTCAATTTTTCCAGGTCACCACATTGCCTCAAAAACCCACTATCATAGCAGTTTGCTGGAAGATTACCACATACTTTGGCCAAAGGATTGATCTTGTTGCCCGCTTCACATCGAGTATCAAATCTCCTAGCTGCTTCAGTCCTCAACTTCACAGTGGCTTGATGATTGTATGAAAGTACATCTATCTTATGAAGCCACTCTCCATACTTGGCACTGCGCCATTCAGGCTGAATTGAGCGCTGATGACCAAGAGAATCATCCTCAGTATCAGAGCAACATGCTGCTTCTGGCAGGAGATCTATAAAGTCTTTGAGGAATTGTTTGACAGTGGATTTACGGTATATAAAGAGCTGTAGACTGTTTCAGTATGGCCATCATAACTTGATAGGTTGAAAAGGACTAGGAAACTTACATCTTGTCGCTTCCTACTGCGCTCCCGCTGTGCAATCTTTTCCGGAGAGGCAAACTCATTCTTCCAGTCTTCAATTCGCCAAATAACCCATCGAGTAACAATACCAATATAGATAACTTCCTTCTCCCATTTGACATCCAGTCCAAACTTTTGAAAAGCAGATGCCCTCCTGGCAAACATCCAATGCTTTACGGTGAATAAAATCATCACTTGATTCCATGCAGCGTCTTCACCTCCCTGAGCTTCCCAATCAAAAGTAAAAGGTCCTTCAATTTGGTGGTTGGCCATATCAGTGTGCAGAAGAGCCTTGAAAACACTCCAGTCCAATGGATTTGGGTGATTGTCGGAGCTGTAGTTGACAAAGACGGAGGTGTCGGACAGGATGCCTTCCTGTGTTAGAGGTGTGAGTGACATCAGCTGTTCATCAGTTGGCGGGTTGGGGAAATGTGGATGATTCCTCGTGTGGCCAAGCAGGTAACATGTGAACTCGGCAAAAGATTTACAGGTGGGGGAGTTTGACTTTGGAAGTATCTTGGCGAATGAGCGGTTTTTGGCCTTGCGACCTTTTGGTGCGGCACCATTGGGCCAAGCTGGGGCAGAGTTTTGTGATGTGGACGCTGAGTAGAATGGAATCATGTCAATTTAAGTGGTTGAGGAGATGAGGAATGGGGAAATTTATACCCATGGTTTCAAATCGATAATCACAGTTGTGAACTTATTTCTGTCAAAACTCTGATTGACTAATTGAGAGTGGTAACCTTCAAAATCCCAAAGTATGTTGAGAGCTAGTTGAGTGAAATGTGGTCAAGGTTGAGGTTGAGTTATGTGAACTGTGGCAGACTGGATTCTCCGCAAAGTAACTCCTTAAAAGGGAAACTTCCATGTATGGCTGTCACAGATGGTGACAGCCATACTTTTCACAACATATGGCTGTCACAGATTGTAAAATCGGATTCGCACAACACAAGTGGCACAAGGAACTGATACTCAAAAATAAAATTGGGGAAACTATCCTAATTTCAATGATAACAAAAACGACAAATCATACAAGATAAGAGCAGCTGTTCAGGAGGAAGAAAACACCATGGAGTTGCTTTTCCCAAGCTTTGTCTTCAAAATATCAATGGCCGACTTAAGATCAACTGTGGTGTCTGACAACTCCAAACTGTCAATTGTAATCTCATCTATCCCTTCAGTGAGTATTTCTGGCTTGATGAGGCATCTGGGAAGAGTCTTGGGAGGAAGTTGATCTTCCGGATCAGGAACGTTTGGCGAATATTCTCCTCTGGACTGGAAAAATTCTTTCAGTCGATCCTTTTGTTTTTTGGTGCTCTCCCTTTTGGGAGCTGCATCATCAGCCAGTTTGATCAATTCATCAAGCTGGGGTGTCCGCCAGTTGAGCTTGACCTTCCAAAACTTCCCAGGCTTCTCTGGGTCCATTTCGGTCTCAGAATGAACCTCTTGAGAGTTTAGCAGGACTTTGAGTGGACCGGTGAAGTGACGAAAGTAGGGCTCTACTGCTGCAGCCCGTTTTTCACAGAGCTGCACATGCACATGTCAGTATGGGTGCTTTATGAGAGTGGCAACAGTGAAAGGGGATATAATAGTTACCTTCTTCCTAATGGCTTTCAAAGCGGTTTTCTCCCTCTCCGTAAGTTTTTGTCGGACAAGCTTGTCACTTCCTCCTTCCGTAGACACCAACTTCCTTTCTTTTGCCTCATCTCGGAAGACTCTGCGCTTATTCGAGACCCAGCGTGAAAGTATTTCTCTAGTTTTGAGGGGAATATTAAGGCTGCTGTCGATTGGGAATCCGGAAGGTACACCTCGAGCATTGTAACAATCTAACCAGCTAGTAATTAAGTTGTCTAACATAGCCATGTTCCAAGGAGTTTTAGGAGGACTTGTCCATTGGAAAGTGATGCGAGAGAAGCCACAGCCAGCAAATTTAGCTTCAGCACATCCTAAGCGAGTGGCATCGTAGGTGGTGATTGAGGCAGTAGCATGGGCTACTCGGGAGATAAATTTAGGAGGGGGAAAAGCTTGGTTAAACATGAGAACAGCGTCTTTTGACACCATAATCCTCATTTGATGCTTGACAGATTCATTTGCTGAGGGGTTATTTTTGAAGCGCTCGTCCATCTTTTGTTGAATGTTGACATCTAGATATTTTGTCCTTGTGTCAGAATAGTTGGCCCACTGTTCAACCTCTTCAGGAGTTGGTTCGTCAGGAAGGTGGCGTGCAAGGAGGACAGCAGCAGAGATGTTGGGAGATGTCCGGGTGCTGGATTGACGAGGAAGACCAAGTAAAGCCCTAGCCCACTCTTGAACAGCAGAGGTCAGGCCTACAAGCTTGACACTATCTCTGGGCTCTTTTCGGGCACGCATTTCCTCAGCATCAGTTTTGCGCTGTTGTTGTCTACGCTTGGCTTCCCTCTCCTTGGCAATCTGAACAGCAACAGCTTGCTCAAAATTAAGTCCAGGCTCTTCCTCTGGATGATCTATGAGGGTGGATGTGATTGCAAGAGATATGTCAGTTTAATCCTCAGTCTTACATGAAATGGAGACTTGTCTGGACTGACTATCAAGTTGATCCATGATAGGATCCCTTTCAGGCACTGCAGGCCCACTGTTGGTCCCCCCACTCTTGGTACCTGGATCAGCTGGATGACATGGATGGAATTAGTTAATGCACAAGGTTGATATTCTGGGTTATGATGCATGAAGATACCTGAGGATCCTTCCATTGCTTTGCGTTTGGGAATTTTGGCAAGATTTCGTGAAAATACGTATTCAAGTTGGATAATCAGACTCAGAAATTGAAATTGTGAAGATGAGGAGTTATTGATCCAATTTGAGTTGAGAAAGTGAATAGCAGAAATTAAAATTCAGATGGAAAAGTTGAATGTTGATGGTTGGGAGAAGGGTTGAATTGCAGCAACCATTAACTGGTTTTGTTGAGGGTTGAAATTGATCCCTTTGTCTTGCAAATTGTTTGGGAAAATCCAAGTGGGTCTCATTTGGATTTGCCCAAATAGCCTAGAGTGGCAAAAAACTGGAGGAGGCCAGTGTGTTGCTCATGGTAGCACTGGCTGCATGTAGGCCTGGTAGGGAAAAATTTCATAGGCTGGTATTCTTGAATGAAATTCAATAGATTCCACTCAACACCTGAGTATGAAGGAAGTGAAATTGGATCCAGGACAACAAAACAATTGCTACATTCTGATCAAGGAAACAAAATTTGAGCTGCTGAATAAAATTGAGAAACAAATCTATTCTTTGATGGGGGATCACCTATCCAATTCTATCCGTGTTGCTCCTAATTTCATTCATCTTTGCTAATTTAACGGTTCAGAAAGATTGATGTTGCCAAAAAACACTGCAAATTTGCATATAATGTATATGGGCCTAATTTTTCCCTAGCCCTGACCATGTTATAAAGAAATGAATTTTGCTCAATTGGCCTCTGTACCAAGTTCCATGTTGCAATTGGAATTGCTTTCAACGCACAGGGGGCATAAAAAATTGAAGACATTTAGTAATAATTCACCCATAATATTACCAGACAAATGAAGACTTACATTCAAATCCATTGGATGATTTGACTGATGCACCAAAGGAGCATCAATAGGTAAAAAGGAATTCTCTAGCTTCCTTTACCACTTCCTTAAAATGTTGGGTCATTTCAATCAACATAAGAATGCTGGTGGGTTCAACTTGGCCTTCAACCTCGTCCACAAGCTGGATGAGCTGAATTCTGCGCTCCCACAGATCTTGGGCTAATCGAATTTTTTGTGCATATGCGTAAAGAATAGAGTTCTTTTCAATATGTCTTTGAAGTATTTCCGCTTGACTCTTGTTCATTGCAACTAGAAAATTGTGATGTGCTGGAGATATTTGAAAGATGAAGAGTTGGTGAATGGGTAAATTTGTGTTCAAGATGATTTGATATAACACCAGAGGTGATTGGAGAAGTTTGGATTGGGGGAATTGGAGACTGACTTGAGGTCCATATATATGGGGATATATATACACAATGATGACTTGCTCAGTGGTGATCTCATTTGGCAAGTCATGATGGTATCATGAGTCAAGTCATCCTTTGCTTTTCGGGTTATGGTTTGGGCAAGCCTGAGGAATTTGGTAGTGATTGATTGGTATGACTCCAAAATCATGGGTGATATGATTCAAGGGCTTTCATTTGGTCCTAAAGTTGCAATACTGGAAATAATCACTCCGACAAAATTGAAGAAACAAATGAACAAACTGATTTTTTTCCCGTGAGGTGTGGTAGGCAGTGTTGGAACTCCATATTGTATTTTGTTGGAAGGTTGGTGGGTTTTGCTAATGTTGTTTCACCCTCAACTCATGGATGCATGGTACGTATGCATGAGATGAACAGAAAAGAAGTGGCACCCCATATTGCCTACGTTTGGACAACTGGGTCAACAAGTCGTGTCTGGCTGGCCCCGTGAGGTGCTCCGGAAGGACTAACCTTGACGGGGTTATTTCACGGGGCCAGCAAGCCGCGACTTGCTGACCACTGTACTGCACAGGGTGGTCAGCAAGCCGCGGCTTGCTGTCCCCGTCAAATGATCCCTTTGGGTACTGTACCGAGAGGATCCCCAACGGGCCAACAAGCTGTGACTTGTCGTATGTACTGTTACAGTACAGTGGTCAGCAAGTCACGACCTGCTGACCCGTCCTGTAACAGTACATACGCGCGCTGCGGCGGTACTCCCAGGCCCGGTGTCCGGGCCGGGGCGAGACCTTACCTCGCTGACACATGTTTCACCCCTTTCTTCCCACAACCTCCTCGTAGTTCAATTCCCCCCCCCTTACGTCTCGAATAGTATTGATTCGCAACGAATCAATACTATTCGCGTTCATTCCTTGGATCCTATTCAATAGGATCATACATACCCTTTGGCGTCCAATCGGTGGCGATCACACATTACGATTCACGATTCATTCCTCGGGCCCCATCCGGATTCCTTCACGTAAGTATCTCTGTATTCATTTCAAACTGTTTCAACTACGTCAACTGATTGTATATTTTTGTATATTTAGGAATGCATCCCCATCACGGTGGCAAAAGGATTGGCCCGTTGCAGCCTGGGCCTACCTGTAGTGCACAGGCTGCCTCCAACGCGGATTCGGCATCATCTAGCAAGTTGAGCTCAGGAGAGGAGGGTGAGCCGGAGGAAGAGGAAGCTGGCACGCAAGATGAGCAATCTCACAAAGAGGATAAGAAACGTAAGCACACCAGCACGCCGTTCATTGGCCTCATCGCATGTTTTGCTAACACCGTTGCTTTTTGATAGCAATTCTCACCAGCACGCAAGCAACCCTGTTAAACGGAACGACATACCATCTTGACCTCGAATCGTTCGAAAAGACGCTGGTTCACCAACGAGATTGGATTGCTGCGTCGCTGGAGAAAGAGAAGATGACCAACAACATCTTTGAGTCCCTGAGGGTCACTGGTTATCGCATCGAAGGGGTCCTTGAGAGTAAGTTGGCCCCACTTTCTGAATTCCGTGTACATCCATGGAATGGTTGACCACGTTTGGGTCCGCAGGTATTCGGAATGGCACCTATCGCAACCAGAAGAACTCGTTGGTTCAAGTTCTAGGGATCCCGATGGAAGATGATCCTCCCACAAGTACCCCAGCTCCACCTCTCCCACCACCCGTCTCGCAACCACTCTTCCATCCCGAACCGGAAGACGAAGACAATGACGAAGAGGAAGACACCACGGCAGAAGCCGACTTCCGTGCCGAGCCTCCTGGAGCGGATGATGATTACGAGCCGCCTCGCAAACAAAGAGCGTCTCAGCGCCTCGCCACGGTTACCTCGCAAGCTTCTCAGACCCCTATCCCTTCAACCGTGCACACCCGGAGCCCTCAGAAGAAATCGAAGCCTCCACCTGCGAAGGGAGGTTCGAGTGTGGGCGGCAAGTTTCCCAAACCGAATCCCGGTGATGGCATGCCATCTCAAACGCCCTCTCAAACCCGAGTCAATCCCACACGCATGGCCAAACAGACGTCCAACAACAAGGCCACCACAACCTCTCCCAGTCTTGCAAACGGCCGTTCAAAAAAAAAAAAGGTCACGACCTCCGCCTTCTAAGCCTAGCCCACCGCCGGCTCGTCTTCCATCACCTCCGCCTCCCCCAGCAAATCCTGAATTGCATCGAGCAGATGCTGGATTTCGGCGAATCAGCAATGAAATTCTTGACTATGCGCAGCGAGCGTCCTGGTATCCACCAATGCGCACTAGCCCGTCCGACCCCTTCTACGTATTATTCTCAACGCCTTTCAAAATCCCACCTGAACGCAACCCCCACCTTTCTCTCTCTCATTATGTCAAACAACATTGGGACAAGACCCTACATTACACTCAGCTCCTACAGAATTTGCGCAGTGGTTTTGATGCGTATCACTTGATGTTTTCGTGGCTCCGTGCCGTGAGGAGCCTACCGGGCTGGGCCCCGCTGGATACCCTGGACTTGTACGATAGGTTGAACCCCTTGCTGACGGCCTTGAAGAAGGGGGAACGACTTCTTGGCCAGACTAAGCCCCCCTCCGGCATTTCAATTTGCAAAAGCTATACCGGCTCAGCCATGCATTCCCCCCAACTCTCACTTGTTTTGCCTTCCGCAACCTCTCACGCTGATGTTTCGGCCGACCCATCACCAGCTGGCCATCACGGTGTCGAACCCTCGCCGGGGGACCAGCATTTCCAACCACCAGAGAATCCACCAATCGATGGTCCCTCTTTAGATGATGCTCCTACAGACGGTTCTCCCATCAAACTCCCGCTAGAACTTCCGGATATGATTGACAAGGAAATAACCGCAATCGAGGCCCTGTTACGCCAGCCAACCCACATTCCCGTAGGCATTGCCACGGATGATTTCGCTGTATTCTTAGATCACCCGCTTTGGCTTCCAACACCTGATGATGATGAAGAAGATGGAACCTGGGGTCTCTTTGTCAAGACAATGGATCGTCATCTAGGGAAAGATGTCATCCTGAAAAATTTTCGACGAGGTGCTCATGGCTTTGAAGGGTTGTTCCGGCGATGGGTGACCACCTCCCGAGCGGTCAATCACTGGCCGATTCCCAGTGGAGACCTTTACCTCCAGTCAAAATTCGACTCAATGACCCACTTCATTGAGTCGCAGCGAATTCTCCCGCCACCACCTGACGCTGCGGACCCCCCCACCGGCCAACCGATTTCCTTACCATCCCAGCTTCATTCAACTCAAGGGTCCGACGATGTTGGACCCACTCCATCTTCCGCCGTGGTTCCTGGGTCAGGTCCACCCCCGGAACCAACCTTGACCACAATTGGTCAACCCTGTCAAACGGACCCCACCCCTCCTCCCTCGCCTCGTATCACAAATGGCTCCACGGATGCTGTCCAAGCCACAGCATCCGCTGCAGCCATTTGTGATACCGGATTGTCACGGAACCCGATTTCAAAGCAGGCTGATCAACCTCCTTCAGCGGACCCCGCGCCTTCTCTCTCCTCCTCGCGAAGACCTTCTCTTGAACCGATACGCGAACCCGATGCTCATACCATCGCGGGCTCTGCCAACACACCTGGCGAGCCAACCCCCCCTACGTTGGATGTATTGATCACGGAGAAAACCAAAACACCACCACCTTCCCCTCCCAAAAACCCAGCCCCACTCCCGATCAACCCACCACGCGGCATCCCTGCCAGGGGTCTTGCTGTTCCTGTCAACGCCGACGTTCGAACCGTGGTGGCCAAGGCCAGCATCTGGGCTGTCAGCGACCCAACAATCTTCGAGGTGACAAAGAAGACTGTTAGATCGAAGACAATCAATAAGGTAGACGTGCCCGACATTTATCGCGCGGCCCTCAACCTTCTGTGGTTGAGATCTCAAGGCACCAATCCAGCGGTGTTGGATGTTGAGCCCTCACCCCCACCAGCCTTCAAAATCCTTCCCAAAAGTAAACTCCGTGTCCACACGTGGCTGAATAAACCTCCGAGTAAGTCTTTGTTGCAATGTTTGTAAGTCACCACAACGCTGACTGGCCCTTCATCACTAGACATGCGCCTGTTCCAATGTGACTCTGAGGCGCCGTGGTATTGACCGGATGTGTTCAACCTTCATGATGCTGAGCTTACAAAGAAGCCCTCCCCCAACGAGAAAGCTCACACGCAGTTTGTCCGAGAGATTCTTGCGGTATTCTCACACAGCTCGACCACCAAGATTGATCAGGGTGTTAAATATGTCTTGGCCGCCGTTGCATACTGCAATATGGAAAATGTCGAAATATCACCTCCCGCACCCTCTACTCTCGCTACGTGTGCTAATGTCAAGATAGAGAATGGCCTGAGGGCTGCTCATCACTACCATCAGCTTCAACTTCGCACGAGCAACTCAGTGGTGCGTGAGTGTGTGATGGCCATATGGGATTTGGTCAATAAGATTTATGGCATGCTAGAGGCTATTGCTACCCTTCGAGCCCTATTCCGCCACACCGAATTCATCTTCCAACAACCTGAACAGCAGCATGACAAGCTTGAACAGGATTATGCCAGCCTTGCCAAATCAGTTGGTGTGGGTCAGGTTCCACCGGTACAATTTGGACTTCTCGTAGCCTTCCTCACATCAGGCGTGAAGGGCCTCTTAATTTTTCCCCGCGACCCTACCAGATTTGGGCTTTGCAAACTTGCCCCCTTCTTAGTTCTAGTGAGCCAGTTGCAAGCCAAACGACCAATCGAAGAACCATTCTGGAAACACACCCAACATTTTCTGCTCGAGATCATACGTGAGGCCCTTTTTCCACTAGGTTTTCGTACTGCAAATGCCACACTGGATGACCCTTCAAGTCAGGACGAATGGCATCCCAAAGAGTGCTCAAAGCTTGACCTTGCTTGTGCTATCCAAAGAGATTTGGCTGCCTTTTGTGAGTTAAGGCCTCAACTGACGGGGGCTCCCTACCCCGATAACCCCTATGACCTACCATTCCACCCAGTTACCACCCGGAACCAAACCAGTATTACCCCACAAGGCCTTGAATAGTTTCTAAGATTTTTAACTTTTTTTACAATACAAAAGATCTGTAGGTTTGTAAGCTAGAATTTGTGTTGTCCATACCCAAAAGTGTACCTTGAAAATAGTGTTGCCACCCAAATTAGGCCTTGAATAGTCTTTACAATTTTTTACTTTTTTTTCCTTTTGATACCAAAGTCTTGTAACTAGGATTGTAGCTTAGTAAGCGGGAATTCATCCCTCCAATACCTAAAAGTGTTACTGCAAAAATGTCCTGCCAGCAAAGGTGTTACCCATTGTATGGAAAATTTCATCTGCCATCTTCACTATGAGAGTGCCTACACAGCAGCATCCTTGATCTGCTAAGAACCAGACTTAGGAGCGTAAAGACAGGCTTGGGTTATATAGCCTGAACCCTAACTTGGTATCCTAGGGTTGGGAACATAGGGTTGATAATACACAGCCCTAACCCTAACTTCATATACACTTTGATGACTTGACAGCTCAAGTCATCAAATACAAATATTCTTTGCCTAACTTGAATCCCACCTCCACCATATCATTTGTGCTACCACCATATCCACACAACCCCCCCATCCCATCATATAGTTACCACAATATGCCTACACCCCTAGGATCCAATGCTACTGCCCTTGGACCTCAACATATCCTGTGCTCATGTCTGCAGCTGGGATGTTCTCAAAAGAGGATTGAGTACATGGGCAAAGTCTATCAAGGCAGATTGTTCAGTCAAACCAGATATCCCAAGCACCTTGCAGAAATCAATAGCTTATTGGAATCCACCACACCTCTGCCTGCCAACCGTCCAGCCCCCCAAAGGGAACCACCTGGTTTTGCTCAGTACTCCAATTTTCCAGTATGATCGGCCACTGATTCTCCATTTGTAATTTGAATGCTTCTGACATCACCGCTGCCATTTGCAGGGTCCGGCTCCAGTTGTCCAGGTTGCGTCAACCAGTCGTGCAGTATTGCAGCCTGCGCTTCCACCAATTGGAGCTGCCACACCTATGCGCAGCAACAAACGGGCCAGAGATACTGAAGATGACGAAAGCATGTCAGGCCCTCGCCAGCCAAAAGCTCCCCGACAAGATCATGGCCACACGCAAATCACAACTTCCACCCCACGTCGATTCTTGCAGGATCCGCTATGCATGCGTGAAATGTTCAAAGTTGCCAAAGAGCACCTGTTCCATAACGTCGGGGTCAAAGCTTGTAACAAAAGCCTTGCCAAAGCTAGAGAGAGTGTCAAGGAACAAAAGCTCACACAAGATCCAACAACCAGCAACAAAGTTTGGAAAGAAATTCCTCTAGGCCTTCCAACCCTTCTGAAGACACTCAAACTGGAACCATCTGTACAATCAAAAACATGTTGCCCATTCTGCTGTGCTTTATCTTCCATTCAAGAACCTTTACCCCTCAATGCATCACCAGTTCCACTCTGTGATGTCCCACGATTTACTACAAAAGCGTCAACAACTCTACCCCGCAAACCTTGTCAATCTCCTCTCTACGAGAAACCATCAGGAACTGTTCAGAAACCCATGCGCCTCTTCTTTTATCAGTCGCTACGTTCTTGGCTTGGAAAGATGCTTCAGTATCACTACTTTGAAGAAGGCATTGATGCACACCTCAATCGTCAGCAACCTGCCAATGATAGAATGGATGATATATGGGATGGTACATTGTGGAAAACCTTCCAGAAAGACAGGTACATCTTCACATCAAAATCTGGTCACCTTGTATTTGGATTATGGTGTGATTGGTTCAATCCTGGTGGCAAGAATGCAGCAACGAAGACTTCAGTTGGTGTCATGCTCCTCACATGTTTCAACCTACCTCCAACAATACGATACAAAAAAGAGAACATCTGCATTTATGGTATCATGCCAGGTCCATCGGAACCATCACTGTCGGAAATGAATCATTTTCTCAAACCACTAGTCACTGAAATGTCGGATTTCTGGGACAGCATCACCTTTACATCAACATCCAAGTATCCCAAAGGACGCATCCTTCGTGCCGCACTATGGCCTATTCACGGGGATGTTCCACCAATGAAGAAGGTCACCGGAGGAACTTCACACTCGTCAACATGTTTTTGCTCTCTCTGTCTGATCGATTGTAATCTCTATCACTCTCAATCTCCAGCACCAAAGGCTGAGCTCCGAACTTCTGAGGGTGTCAAGGTGCAAGCCGTGGAATGGGAACAATCTCAAACTGCAAGTGAGCAAGCTAAACTGGCAAAGACCACAGGCGTACGATATAGTATCCTTCATGAGCTGCCATACTGGCAAGCTGTTGAATTTTTTTCTGTTGACATCATGCACAACATCTTCCTTGGTCTATACAAAGATTTTTCAACCCAATACATCCAAGTACCAGCAGCTGGCAAGGCTCTTGAAGCTGAACGAGAAAAAATGGAATTCACTAATTGGCAATACAATGTGCAGCTCCCTCGACCGGCATCACCTAGTCCACCTGGATCTGATGATGCAGCTTCCACAAGCGGTATGCCTCCTCCTCAGCCACCCTCCCGCCATTCTTATGATACTCGATCAGCTATATCCTCTAATCTCCATCGGGATATGGCATCTTCAGCTGGATCAGACCATACAATTAGAGGTAAACAGAAGAATCACAATGGATCGGACCACTCTCGATCACCCACACCCCCACCTCCAGCCATCATTCCCGAGATCACTTCTTATGAACTCGATTTACTTCAACGCTGTATCAAGCATGCCAAAGGCCCTTCGTGGCTCACTCGACCTCAGAAGAACTTTGGAATGGCTAGTGCAGGCACTCCCAAAGCTGCTGAATGGCATTCATTATACAAAGTCTTTATTGTACTAGCTTGGATACCTCATTTCAAAGGTGGAGACCCTGCATCAACATCAGCTAAAATCCTAGCTAGCCTCCTTCAGCTTATTCAGATTGGCAACATTTGCACACAGCGGTCCTTTCAGCATGGTGATGGAGAAATTATTACAACCTTGGTTGAGGAACATCAAGCTACCCTAGGGGATGGATGGCCGCATAAGAAAAAAAAGCCCAACTTACATTTTGCCGAACATATTGGCCAAATCTCCACACTTCTTGGGCCTCCAGCTTACACAGCTAGCTGGTCAGGTGAGCGGATCATTGGAGCCCTTGTGCAGACCTCAAAGAACGGAAATCAAAGTGTGTTTGTTCCTAATTTGTACAAGTAGGATGCAGCAACTGACCCCAATTGTTTTGAGTAGGAAAAGTGGGTGAGACCCTCCTCAAACAGCATTCAATGCGTGGATTCTTTCAAGCAATGATTAACAATAGCCATCCTACCATTGATGCTGACCCTATTATCAAAGAATATCTACAACAAAACCGCCGGACCAAGTGGACTGCGAAAAAACTCAGTTCTCAAGCATTTGAAGCACTTCGAAAACTTGGGATCCTTGGCCCAGACAAAACTTCTGCATCCACTTTTGAAGTTGCTAAAAGTCTTGTCATTTCTAACAAGCCACATAGTACATACAGCAAAAATCCTGGAAACAGCTATATATCATACTCTTTGGATTCATGTAACAGGGTTGGTAATATCACAGACATTGTCAAGCTTCCTGATGTCACCCAGCCGGTTCTAGTTGTCAGATCTCTGAAGTTTCTCAATACTGAAGACAAGCACAAGGACCCCTATGATTCCTTGCCAAGATTGCTTAATGTATCAGTTATATATGATTTGCGTGAGGATTATCATGTTGTTCCATGTCACAAGGTGATTGGCCAGCTTGTTGTACAACATAACACGGCAGGTACATTCGATATTGCTTGCCCAACACTTTCAATAGTGCAGCTCAACAATCTGGTGAGTTCCTGAGATTATCACTGCGCTCAATAGAGTCACCATGTAGAAGTCTCCTGATCCATTTTTCAACTTTCCAGGGCTTTGTGCAGGAACTTAATCTGGAAGACAATGCCATGTATATTGAATAACCATGAGAGCAAGAAGATGTTTTGATGTGGCCTCAATGTAAAAGTTCTCCTTTTCCACTTTTTCTGGGTTCAAAACATTTTCATTCCTTTATTATCTCCAAAAATTTGTGAATCTCATTCATGAACTGTGTTGGGTTGAATCTGTTCATCAATTTTTGTTTTTGATACCAGGTATGTACACAAAGCATATCAAAAAAATAATGTGAAGCTATCAATATTTCACAAAGTAAGAGGAAAGGAAACACTTGTCATTTTTGGTTTTGAGCTTTTGTTTTAACAACTCTGTTCATTAGAATTATTAAGGATCATGAGCCCTTGATTCCATCAAGCTACCCTGCTATTACAACATGGTTTGTAATTGAGTTGGAAATATGACTCCATTACAAGAGGTGACTGGATATTAAGAAAGGATATCTGATGAGTTCAAACTTTGCTGCATAAGAAGTTCTCAGAATGCAATTTACCATCCTGAGCAATTTAAAAGAAGCCGTTGGAAGTTTTGGAAGATCAATTTACATCTGCAGCTGTACTACTGAACTAGCTGCAGGTGCATCTGCAGCTCATGCATATCCCCCACTCAAACAGAACCTGAGGTCGATTTGATATTGAATTGAGATTGAATTGAGATTGTTTTGAGGTTGTTTTGAGGTGAATCGTACTCACTGGCCTGCCAGTGAGTAGTAAAATGTCACTGTGGCTGGAGGTCAAAAAGGGAAAAACAAAGCGCAAGATAACAACGCTTGGTGAGCAATGCTCCCCTTGGTGACAGAGATGAGTAAACACCATACTAACGGTAATGCCTTTTTCTAATCGATCCTCCCGTTCCCGAATGACTGGTGGTTTTCGGATATAAATGGTCGCGGGTTTCCTGGTGTGTTGTAATGCGTTGTTTACTGGTTTCCTTTCCGGATTTCTTGTCTGTTTTCCCTCCCTGGTTTGGTTGTGAGGTATATAGATGTTCACTTTCGCCGCCATACATGTTAATTGTGAAGGAGTACCTCATAACTGTTAGGGTTCTTGTACGTTGTAGCGCAATGTCTGAAATTATGAATCTACCTTTCTGGTTTGCGTGTCTTCAATCCTAGTCTTAGCCCACGAGGACCACGATTATGGACCTCAGGAGGAGAGAATCAAACCCCAAGAGTAACTGAAACATTCGGGCCAATTGTCCCAGGTGAAGTAGTAGAAGAGTATTTAACACACAACACTAGTTGTGACGAAGAAGACGCAGAGACCAGCTCCATCTCCTCATCTGAATCTTTGGAAGACGTGAAACGAATCCTACCCCTGAAAGACAGGAAGCTGTTTAAAGACAATTCAGTCAGTCAATGGCCGAAGGCAGTTAGATGCGATATGGTGCTGGAGAAATGGAAGGAGTTGATGGAAGAAGCAGGTCTAAATGAAGACGTACCGTACATTTTAGACGGATTCATGGAGGGCTTTTGCCTAGGAATCCCCCAGCATTACCTCAAGAACAGGAAGTGGTACACTCCTGATAATCATACCTCAGCATTAGATGTGAAGAAGGAAATTGAGAAGACGCTGGCGAGAGAACATCGAGAAGGCAGGATCGCCGGACCTTATACACACGAGGAATTGTTCAGCAGGTTTGGATTCTTTCGGTCAAACCCAATGGGTAGTGCCAAAAACAGTGATGGATCAATCCGGTTGATCAATGACCTGTCGTTTCCTAAAGACGATGATGAAATTAAGTCAGTTAACTCCTTTGTAGACAAGAGAAACTACGAGACGTCTTGGGACGACTTTAAGAGAGTAGCGAAGTTTTTCAAGAACAACCCAGGAGAATGGCTGTTAGCCATCTTCGACTGGGCGAAGGCTTACCGACAACTACCAGTTCATCATAGTCAACGCAAGTACTTGATTATAAAAGATTTTGAAGGAAGACTATGGGTAGACTTGGCCGTTGGATTTGGGGGTGTAGCTAGCTGTGGAGTCTTCGGTGCGCCGGCAGAAACATGGAAGCGGATTATGTTGACAAACCTGAAATTTCCAGCGATCTTCAGATGGGTTGACAACAACCTCATCCTCAAGAGGCCCGAGCTGAAGACCTCACTGGAAGAAGTAACGACCTTGAGTAATTCGATGGGAGTAAAGACTAATTCAAAGAAAAATCACGAATTCGCCGAAGAACAAAAGTTCCTCGGGTTCATCTGGAATGGGAAACATCATACCGTTAGGCTCCCAGCAGGAAAGTTGCAAGAAAGATTGCAACAAGTCAAGGATTTCTTAGAAGACGGAAAGAAATGGCAATTCTCACAAGTAGAAACGTTTGTGGGACGCTTGTGCCACACAGTCCATATAGTCCCCCACATGGCTGCTTACTTAAACTCGATGTATCGATGGAAGAAATCTTGGAGAAATCTCCACACGACAAGATCATGCCCAGAAGACGTGGTGGAGGATCTTAAGGAGTGGGAATCGTGCCTCAAGAATTTCGATTCTTGCAGGATCGTACCTGACCCAACGCCTGAAGAAGTCGGGTGGGTGGGCAACGCGGCATCGTCCTTTGGGTATGTTAAGTGAACTGAACTGTCCGGTTGATTAGACATAGAGCTCTGATGCATGATGCGGTTGTTTCGGTACTGATGTATTGGGAGATAGCATCGGAGTCTTAATAGGTACCCACTGGGCGTGTTTCAAATTCGTCACACAGTGGGAAGATAAAGAAGGATCCGACAAGAAACGACACATCGCATGGGCGGAGACCGTAGCCATTCGGCTGGGGTTACTGGTCTTGAAGAAGGTGATGTGTGTGAGAGGCAGAAGGTTTTGGGTCCATACAGATAATACGACAACCGAGCACGCGATCCGGAAACGGAAGTCGAAAGACCAAGACGTGAATAAAGAATGGAAAGTTATCCAAAGACTGCTTACCGAACTAGGCTGTAACGTGAAACAGAAACGTGTTACATCTCGAGACAATAAAGCGGACTGCTTATTGCGAGGGAAACTGAG